GACTCACACGCTTTAAGTACAAAACTCACGCACATTAACATTACACATCCACGCACATTAAGTACAAATCTCAGGCACATTAAGCACAATACTCACGCACATTGAGTACAAACCTCACGCACATTAATCAACCGCACAACCGCACGGGAAGCATTCAACCACACGGGAACCTTACACTATATATATATATATATATATATATATATATATATATATATATATATATATATATATATATATATATATATATATATATATATATACACTAGTAATTGTCCCGTGCGATGCACAAACTATTATTAATTTAACAAATTTACTAATTAAATTTTTGACATCCTCTGAATTAGCAAAAAAAGTAATGGTTGTGAAAACAGAAAAACGTACTTGAGTTTTTGAGCTCAGAATTAGTTTGATTAAAAATGTAACTATAACTATACAATGTAATATTTAATATTTTTAAAATTTTAATTATGATATTATTATGTTAATTTTAAAGTTTATTTTTACTTGTATTATTATTTGAATTTTATTATTTTTTTTGGAAAGGAATTTAAATTTGAAATAACTACTTAATTATATAACTAACATATTTAAATAAAACTTGTAAATAAAATAACATGCGATATTTGTCGAAAATCTCCACCCAAAATTTATTCATTTAAAAAAGATTATTTATGTAAGAACTATATTTATTTTATATCTAATTTTTCCTCTTTATATATGTGGAGTAAAATTAATTATAATTGAGGTTTAAATGAATATATACACAAATTATATTAAATATAAAACTTTACTAATAAATTTGAACACAATAAACTTTTTTCCATACTTCATTATGCTTTAATATATATAGAGAAAGAGATAGAGATAATGCTATAATAATAAAATATAATTTATAAAATATAAACACACATAATAATTTTTAAAAATATATGTATAAATACAATGTAATATTTAATATTTTTAAAAATTTAATTATTCTATTATTATGTTGATTTTACAGTTTATTGAAACTTGTTTTATTATTTGAATTTGATTTTTTTTAAAGGAATTTGAATTTGATTTTTTTTAAAGGAATTTGAATTTGAAATAACTACTTTAATTATATAACTAAAGTATTTAAATAAAACTTGTAAATAAAATAACAGGTCATATTTATCAAAAATCTCCACAAAAAAACTTATTCATTTGAAAAAGATTATTTATGTAAAAAATATATTTATTTTATATCTAATTTCTCATCTTTATATATGTGGAGTCAAATTAATTATAATTGAGGTTTAAATGAATATATACACAAATTATATTAAATATAAAACTTTACTAATAAATTTGAAAATAATAAACTTTTTTCCATACTTCATTATGCTTTAATATATAATAAAATATAATAATAAAATATAAATACACATAATAATTTCAAAAAAAAAAATATGTATAAATACATCTACCCACACAATGAAAGCATTCATACTTGCTAATCTTGTTTCTATCCAAATGCATTCACACTTTGGAGGGAAATTTTGTAGCTAGATTCTGTTTTATTATATAATATATAATATATAATATAATAACTAGTATGATACCCATGCGATGCATGGACTATTTATTAGTAATATTATTATGAAATTTTATATGTAATAAAATATCTTCTTTTTTAAATGTTTGACATTTATATGTTAAAAAAATGTAATTTTATATAAGTTAAATAATTTAATTAAAAAATTAACATGTAAATGCAAGATAATTAATAAGCAATTACTAAATTTATTCACATTAAATTGCAAAGTATTATAAAGGGAAAATGACACTTTTTCCCCCTAAGTTATATCATTATAGCACTTTTTCCCCCTCAATTATTTATGTAAGCACATTAGCCCGCTCAATTATTTTAAAAGTGGTGGTTTTTCCCCCTGATATATTAAATTGACATTTCTACCCTTAAAGTAAACATTTTATTTATTTTACTTCTCCAACAAATCATTGCGTATATGTAGCAATGACCACGGTTCGGTTCATACTGAACCGGACACTATAACAATCGAATTAAAAGTTTTCGGTTATGATTCAGATCTAGAACCAAATATTTGAATTTCAATTTATTAAATTTATGAATAAAAAAACTGGATCCTGAATCGTGAACCGACGGTTCCAGATCCGGTTCGCGATTTTGAACCGTTTTTATTTTAAAATTTTATTTTTTATTTTAAAATAGTCTAAATTCAATAATAAATGTATTTTATTTTTTCAGTTCGGAACATGAACCGGCCATTCCGATTCGCGATTTTAATAAACTCTAAATATCGTGTTTTGATTCTAAATTGTAATTGGAATATTTTGGTTTGGTTGCTATAGTATCTGTTTGGTTTGAACCAAATTATAGTAATAATTTGTTGGAGAAGAAAAATAAATGAAATATTTATTTTAAATATTTATTTTAAGGGTAAATATGTCCATTTAACATTTCAGGGGGAAAAAGAGCCACTTAAATAATTGAGGGGGAAAAAATGCTATAAGTATACAACTCAGGGGTAAAAAGCGCCACTTTCCCTATTATAAATATACAAATTATTGAAAACTTTATGGTGCACAATGTTAGTTGTTGATGTAGAACTTAGATTGTACTTGAGTCATTCGCAATTGTTTATATTTTAAGATCATCTGGATTGTTGACCCGAGAAGCAACAACGTACCAAATGGATTGTTGATCAGAATGCATTTCTTTGAACCTTTGTTTTTGAGAATTATTATTTATAAAGGAGGTTGTAACATTTTGAATAGATGTTAGATATTCATTCTCTGTAATAAAAAAATAAAATATTATATACATATATTTAATATCAAGTATTATGTTAAACTAATAATTTTGAATTAACATTAAATATAATCCAAAATCTCCTTATACACGTAATATTATCTTTTTAAAAGTTTCATCTAAATTTAGAGTAATAAATTTATAAATTTAGATATATTTTTAACTTGTATCTTATGTGTGGTATAAAACCACCAATCTCATTATAAGTGTATATATATAGAGCTTATGGCAATACAAAGATACAAAATAAATCAATTAACATCTTTTATAATATACTAGGACTATGTAGTCTAATGGTATCCGGGTTGGACTTCCATTTGGAAGGTTGTGAGTTCAAGCCTCAGTGGAGGCATTATTGGTTCTTTGTGTTCCTATACTACAATGTAATAGGGCCAGTAACATTCAAAAAAAAAAACATCTTTTATAATATAATAAAAAATAAAAATTTTAATGTACAAATGCTGGACCAATACATTATAACATTTATATTTCTAATTTCTAGACCAAACCTAGCCCATTGCTGCAGCCCCACTACCCAAAACCCACTAAACCCAAAACCCACTAAACCCAAACATAAAATGAAATCCCCAAACCCCAAGGCCCAAGCCGACCATTCACCTTCTGACTCTTCGCTTCGCCTTCTTCCAGCTGCGCTCCGCCTTCTGCCTGCTCCTCTACGCCTTCTCTCTATTCTGAAGGTATTATTGCCTCCCTTCTCTCAACATATTTGCTTCTTCTTAATTGCTTTGTTGAACTACTGCAAATTTCATCATAGCTTCAAATAGACTTTTTTTTTTCTGAAAAGTTTGCAGAGAATTTTCAATATTTAGTGATTGTATTTTATTATTAAGCTTTGCGTGAAACTAAGCCTTGTAATAAAGGCATGAATATTGAAAATTGTATTAATCTTTATGAAATATATGTGGTGAAGAATTATGAATTTAACATACCTTTTTTTGTGGTAATAACAATATAGCAGTATAGCAAGGTTGTGGACCTGTGGTCCTTCTGTCCATTTCAGTTGTTGTTATTGGACCTCATATACGGTAAAATATATACTAATATTACAATGAAGCTTGTGTTGCTTAATACAGTACCTTTTCTAGCGAGAGAAAGTGAAAGGATGCAGGGCTTCTTCATGCCTAGCTGCATTATGTCTGCCTCTTTCCATCATTCTTCTCTTTTGCGTCAATGTTATTGCCCCCTTTACATTCTACCGTCTTTTGCCTTTTCCGCCACCGCCACAACTTTGAGCCATTTTCCCGGATGATGAACTCACAATGGTAGCTGCAAACTATGAGTGCTTATTTATAGTGTTGTCTTGATTATAGAAGCTCATGTATATTTAATGTTTGTATATTTAATGTTAGTCTTGAAGATTGTATCAGTCATTTAAGATTTAAATTCATCTTTGTATGTACACATGTAAGTATACGAAGAGGCAAATAACCTTTTAAATTAAGACAGTTAATTAATGATTCAAAATTTCCAAAACATCAGGTTTTATTAAACTCCAAAAAAAAAATTGCAAAATGTTTTTTGTAAGCCAAAATATTTGAGCGGGAAGTTTTGGCAAGATTGTGCATCTTGTGTGGCTTTTTTATATAGTAAGATAATAATAAAGATATATATATATATATATATATATATATATATATATATATGTATGTATGTATGTATGTATGTATGTATGTGTATGTGTATGTGTATGTGCATGTGTATCTGTATGTATTAAATACTTCTATGATTAAAAAAAAAAAAAAAAAATATTTGAGTTCAATGGTTATTTACAACATTGTTGTCATATATAATAGCCTATAGGCAATAACACATACTAGCGTTGCACCCAATTAAGTGAAGTAAGACCAACTCGATCTTGGCACCTTTGTTGTGCTAAAGCCTCCTAGTATTAGCCATGGCATTTCTGATCGAAATTGGCAAATTAAAGATTTCAAAGAATTGAAGTTAAGACCCTATGTGGCACGTTCAATGTAACCTTTAAGTTGTATAAACCTTATTAGTTGAAATGGAGTTAAGATAATCGATCATGATTTACTCTGATCTCAATGCAAGATGATATTACAATCGATGAAACATTGATTACCGGACAACATGAAAGCCCCCACCCACCCACCCAATATTCCTAGTACATGACCTTATGATACACGTACTATACGCCCTTCAATTCTACCCAACTAACTCATCACGCTATGATTAAAAGATTAACGTAAACACTTATCATCATCAGATGAATAATGCACATCCAGTGAGAACCCGAAAACCCCCATTTTGGTCCGCTGTTGCTGCTGTTTGAACCGCCCCCATACCCAGCCGGTGGAGGAATGAGCAGTGGACTGGAATCATGGCCGGTGCGCGGCGGTGTAGGTGCGGGGTCAGCTGAGGGGGGTGGTGCAGCGCTAGCAGCGGGAGGAGAAGTAGCCGTGTGGGGCGGCGAGGCATTTGCCATTATTGTGGCCTCCTGCAGAACCCCATCAATGCCATGGCACCTGACGGAAGACCCTCTGGTGCAGATATTAGGACTAATGAGCCGAGAGGTGTTGAGGAAAAACTGGCGTCTCCCATAGTTGGTGACCCGGAGCATAAGATCAGGCTTGGAAGTTGGGATCATGGAGCCGGTGGGGAAATGCTGGAGGTGCTCAAACAGCAACGCTGAAGGGATGGTGTGCCGGAGCAGGAAGTTAACGGCATCGCTCTCTGGTATAATCGCTCGGGAGAGCGTCCGGTCATTGGGCATCAAGAAAGTGATATTGGCTTGGAAGAGATCAAGGGGAGCCATGTTGATAAGCATCACGAAGGTGAAGTAGTTGGCTTTCTGCATCTCTTCAATGGCTACCAGGATATCTGGGCTTCTTGAAGCAGGAACATTTGCAGCAGCTAGGGAAGAGGCTAGTGCAGAAATTAGAAGAAGAAGAAACATTGTTATTTGATGAACAGTAGTAGTGGCCATGGATAAGAGGTTTCTGGGTGGGGAAATTGATGGATCTTATTACTATTATTAATAAGCAGTAAAAGTTTGAGATAAGGATGAGAGATTTGGTTTGTGGGTGGGGAAATTGATTATGGATCTTATGAACTAAGGTAGATAGATAGATAGTAGTGTAATAGGGGCATGCTTACTGGTTTTCCGCTTGTAAAAAGTGGTTAACTAGCCAGCTTCAACATGCATCCATGCTGCATGCTCCAACAAACTAAATGATCATTCCTCTTGCATGACCGACTTGGACTTAATTTCCACCTATAGATAATTAAACAATCTTGCTATTTCTTCTTCCTATACTTACTAGCTACTTCCCTCACCCCACCAAATAATTAACATTTTCCAATAATATACCTAACTCAACACTAATTTTTTTTTTTTTGAATGCTAACTCAACACTAATTAAATAACCACACAACCTATGAATAATTAATTTTAGGGTGGGTTTGGTTCCAACATGGGAATGGAAAATAAATAGTTGGTAATTGAAATGAGTTTTGGTGAATATAATGTATTTTACATGTTTAGTAGTTGGGTGGAATTGAAATGACCAATTACCAATATATAATATTAATGTTTAGTTATGTATAACCCTATAATCGAAAAAAATATTTAAAAATAAAAAAATAAAAAAAATCAAAGCAATTAATTTTAAGAGTGAAGATGAACTGCGTAACGGAACTTAATGTCATTTATTATTCTACCAATGATGTAACGGAACTTAATGTCATTTACCGTGCGAGAGTGTATTTTACTAAAATCAAAGGGTCTCTGCGTGAATCCATAAACTACAAACTCGCTTCATATCATATCACATCGTTATTCTTATTTCTCTTTCATGCAAACACTTATTTGTAACCTTCAAGGTTAACGCTTAACGGTGTATTTTTTATAATATAAAGAGAATTATACATTTTAGCGAGTCGAGCTATGCCTTAATTACTCCTTTATACGTTAAATAGTCATGGCACTTCCGGTGCCTAACTCTGGATCCAGATTATCATATAACGGAGCAATTTGTAAGGCAATTGTGTTGTCGACAACTATACTACTTTTATAAATCTCTCCCATATTTATAATCGTTTATGGCAATATTTAAGTCAACCAGATTCTAGACATTTCCCATAAATATTCAGATCACATCTGATTGTCCCGCATCCCTAGTATTATATTTGTTTGGTGCACCTATGGATTGACTAGGGTTTCTCGTCATCTGGACGAACGTCGTCAGGACAAAATTATTCAAGTTTTTCTCAGAGTGACAATGTTTGTTTATTTACTAGATCTAGTATTACGATTCTCATCTCTTTCACCGATAGATCTCCTACATTTCTAGTGTCAAGGAGTATCGGTAGATATATTTGATCTAAGTTGGGAAATATACATGAGACCTAGTCACTCTTTTATGATCAATAAATATATTTGGCAGATTGATTATCTCTTGAACTTCCAATTCAGTCTAACTAGTACGTATATTTAAATAATGAAGATCTTTTCATTTTATAAAATTTATTGGCATTCCATTAAATTTGGACTCTTATCTCCCCCTAATGTCGAGAAACAATCTTCATTAATTAAGTATGCAGTCAGTGTACCTAAGTATATGCATTGATCCCTTATCATGGGCTCTCTTGGTATTTAATCAACATATGGAGGTTTATTTGATACCTCTTTTAGAGGTACGTTGTGATGGTGATATATGAAAATAGAAAGCATACTATAAATAATAACGCAGATAGGAAAATGTTTATTTTGAAACCACGTACTAGGTGAAAAGGGGGTATGATTGTGATATGCAGTGAGTCAGATTTGGATAAAAATTATTTGGAATTTTCCTTCACAATTTATTTGCTTCAGGCACACTAACATAATTTGACTAACTTTATAGTATCATCTAATCGGACGGTATTGCACTCATCCTAACAACCCTTCCAGAATTTGACAAAAGATTTGGGGATCATTTTTTATCAAATAGTTATTGTCAAGGTTTGGTCCAAATGGTGACATAGGAAATTAGAGCTCTTAGTTCACCTTCTGGTAAATATATATTAATTACCAAGTAAAATAAGTGTGAATGAAAGTTATACCCCTGATTTATGTCCGTTTTTTCCGTTAAGTTTTTTTGTACATTATGCTATAAAGGTTGTACATTAAAATATTTTGGACAAACATAGCCCTACCGTTATAACTTCCGTTATCTTTTCCACTATTGTTACCATGCACATGCATCCACCATATATTTTCTTATCTTCTTCATTAATAATAAAATATATAAACATTATATATTTGAGTTATATGTTAATTATTACATAAAATATAAATATCAAATTTATAAAAATGATTTACATTATTATCATTATTATTATTATTATTATTATTATTATTTAAAATAATTTAAATATCTAAAATCTAAATAAATTAAAAATTTTAATATAATGTATTAATATTGGGCACCTATTTTTTGCGCATCGCGCATAAAAAAAATACTAGTATCCCAATATATATTAGATAAATTTCAATATTCACGACTCGTCTATTGCAAAACTAGCAGTATAAACAGGTTTGACTTTGGACAAATAATCATTGACTTTTGAATCCTTATCAAATCAATTTGATACTATAGTCATATAAATTGTCCTAGTGTTCTTATCATATAATAACTGCTATGATTTTGTTTTCTCGACAATTTAAAATCCATGTCATAATTCCACCTAAAACATGGGATGTGATATAAATCACAGCATTTAAGCTCACATCACATAATTGCTATCACAAGAGCGAGCTAAGGTTTAGCAACAACAAGTGCAACCTAACAAAAACCATGTCACTATTTTGTGGTTTAAAACTCAATAATAAGATACCACATACTATGTCTTTAATAATATTTATCCTAAAAGTTCACTTCATGTTGTAGTAGTCATGGCCTATAGCAACAAGAGGAAAACAACAAATTTTCTTTGTTGTATGGTTCACATAGCTACAAAGCAAATTTTAAGCAAATAGAAGTTCTCAAAATTTGAGCACAATGCAATATACCAGTTATATTGCTTGTTAGATATAAATATTTAAAAAAAAAAAAAAAAAAAAATTTAAACTAACCTTCTCGCCGTAATGATTCTGATCTCCTTTGCAGAAGACAATCCATTATCTGGTTCTATATTCCCTTTTTTTTCACTGAAAGCATTGTAAAGACGCAAGGCATCCCAAATCTAGAACCCATCTCTCTTATTTTCCAATTCAAAGTGTTATGCTCAGCAAGGTACAGTTGCAAACAGTGGCATGCAAAATAGAATTACCAATGAGGCAAAGCACTGTGACCACTTATTTCATGACCAACATCAATGTTTGAGGGATTAACTTCGTCAAAATTATTACTAAGTGATGGTACAGTGGTATGAACAGTAGAATCCCCAACCAAATTACCAACACTTAGAGAATTCAAAGCATTATTCAAAACAATTCGAAACAACAGTACCCTGACCCAAACAATTCGAAACAACTAACAGTAGAGGACATAGCTAAATTACCAACACTTAACAAATTAGAGGCCTTATTTCCACCATTACCATTCACAGAAGCAACATTATTAGAAGTATATATGATTAACATTTGAGACAGCAAGTGTTGGTACAAGAATTAAGACCATGATTACAGATTTAGAGGCAAAAGATAATGTGAAGTATTATTTTGAGCACCAAGAGCAGTCATACCTGTTGTTGCAGCCAAAGGTGAATCACGGTTGGTCTGGACAATTTGACTGGCGGAAACTGCAGCGTAGATGAGGCGAGATCCACGCTGCCAGTCGCGTCTCTGTCCCCCCACCCCTACACGCCGGAAAACCCGTCGGCTGCGTACATTTCCTTGAAAAATTTCTGGCGGTCGATCCTTAATCTGGCCACCGTCGAGTGATAAATTCTATGATCGGACGCCGGATTGCCGATCGCCAGACACGAAATCGTCGCCGGTGACCGGATGTAGCCCGCGCGACGCAAGATCTCCAAAGACTGTCGAGCCGCCTGTTCGTCGATCACCGGAGGATCCGGAGAGCTCCGATCGACAATCTGACCGGAAGGGACGTTCTCAACACACCCCCAACACCATCTAGGCCCTCCGATCGGCCATGCAATGACCGGACCGCCGGCAAGGCCTCCTTCGACGCAACCTGGTCTCATCTGGGCTCAGAGTTCGAGGAACACGCCTATCGCGTCTCTTGCCGGAGCACGCTGGAGTAAAACATGAACATTAGTTCATCCACAGTGAAAATCTGCAAACATATCATCAATGTTTGGTACATTCAAAGTGAAAATTGAGTAATTGAGTTTAGATTTTGAGTGTGAACATTAGTAATCTAAAGTGAAGAAAGTAGAGAGGGTGAAGTAGACTCAAGCATTCTACACAGACAAATCAACAACTGCTAAGCTAGCTGTGCCATCTAAAAGTAATCAAAGTTAATTAATCACATTTTTTAATTGCTAAATACAGCAAGAATTCAATCTAAAACTTGGCTTCTTCTACATAAACGGAATAGCATTTAGGATTTAACCAGATAAGTATTGCAGATTTGGCAAACATTACAACGGTATGATTAACCCAACAAACAATATCCTTTTACCATCAACAAATTTATGTCAAAAAATAAAAATTGGGTTTAATTTGACCGTTTGAGAACCCACTGTGCTATGGCGGTTAGTTTAAAATACTTTCCTAAGAACTCATATAGCGGTTAGTTTCAATTACTTTCCTAACAAGTAATTAGTTTAAACTCTATTACCGTTGCTTTAATTGCAATGCAAGACTGGAACACTATATATAACTGCCTCTTCTGCTTCAATCAAACCACTCACTCACTCACTCTTCTCATCTCTTTCTTTCTTTCCTTCCGAAGAAATTAAACTACTGCACGCACAACGTATTCCTGTTCTTCTGTTTGCCTCCGATCCAAAATTGGTTTTTTTCTTCACTTGGATCAAGATTTGGAAAATGGTTAAGGTTTCTTTTCACGGTGTGGATCTCAACGTAACAGTGGCGAAGAGAGCTATGGAGGTTGATAACTGGATCAACACCACCATTGGCAACCACTGGCATCACCTCCGCGATCTGGTGGTGGGACTGGACATTGAGTGGCATCCCAATCCCCCAAGCACCGATTTCAACAATCCGGCAGCAACTCTCCACCTGTGCATTGGGAACAGTTGTCTCATCTTTCAGCTTCTCCACCGGGATTACATCCCACATTCGCTCCTCAACTTCTTGGCGTGCCCGTTGTTCACATTCGTGGGAGTGGGGGTTCAAGACGACGCTGAAAAACTGTTCCAAGATCACGGTCTGATTGTGAGGAAAACCGTGGATTTGAGGTATCTGGCAGCTTGGGTTATGGATTTGAAAGAGTTTTCCAGAATGGGTTTGAAGAGGATGGCACTGGAGATTCTAGGGCAAGTGATGGAAAAACCTCTACAAGTAACACTCAGCGATTGGGACGCTAAACATCTCACTTTCGATCAAATTGAGTATGGCTAAATAGATGCATTTGCCTCTTTTCAAATTGGTTTCACTTTGTTTACCATGGCTGCTTACAAGCTACAACTTTTGTAATCAACCACTTGAAACAAGTGTAATAATGTCAATTTCAATTTTTTTTCCTGTGGCTTGGTTGTGATTTTTGATATATTCTGTTTTTTTTGTTTATGTGTTTTTATTTTTGAATAAATACTAATTAGGACGTGTTGACTATTACCTTTTATCCAATTAAGTCACTGATAAAGATGGAATTTTTTTTGCAATTTGATGAAATTAAATCCATTTATTCACACCTGTACAAGAAAGTGAAGCAACAGAAGGTAAATTTGTGTTGGAACGTGATGAGTTCTGGTCCAATTGAATGTATTTACAAGATAAATATTCTTTATTTATGCATAAATAGAAGGTCTAGTAACCTTTATAAGTACATAATGAAAATTATACGCACTATATATTCACAAAAGAAATATTTGGCTCTCCCTACTGCCAGTGCTAGAGATAAAAGGCCTTCAAATTTCTGAAGAGCTTTGTGGAAGCAAACTTTGTTAACCCTACAACAGCTTCCACTTAGTAGCTTTCTGTATACAAAAAGTTAAGGACAAAGAAGTAAAATAAATATAAGGATGGGGCATCAGTGCTTCACTTCCATACTAAAAAACAATTGTTAGTCAAGTAATACATATTCAAAAGTTGCTAATATAAAAACCTACCACTCCTTCCCAAAACCCAGACTTCAATTCTCAAGGGGAGTCAAAATATCAACAGGATCCTTCATTCCCCAATCCCCATCAATAATAAAATACAGATGCCCAATTGCAACTGAATCCTTATAAAATTGATGGCAAATATGTCTTATTGTATATAGATATAGACAATGCACCAAATTAACAGCAATATTTGAGAAAAATCATGATACTTGTCAATTAGAAGTGATGTAAATAAAGATAGCAAACATACTTGCGCAATTGAGGGATTTTAGGAATATTAACTTCAAAGCAAAAAAGCATCCTCTGCAAAACGCCATGTTAGGGATCATATATACTGTGGACCTGAACCACTCAGGAAAAAGAAAACTCTGAAAAATGATATAGAGGTAACCAAAGAAATTATCATTGTCGTAGGAACCAGGGATAACATGAGGCATTTAATATTCTATGTGCCAAATTGTACTCCTTTTACTTATCAAGAAATATCATGGTAGTGTTTATCTCTCTGAATTGAGCGGGACTCATTGTTACTTTGCAATGAAAGTGATGGACAAGGCATCCCTTGCAAGCAGGAAGAAATTGAACCGTGCTCAGACTGAGAGAGAAATCCTGCAACCTTGTATACCCATTTGAGACAGACAGATTTTCATGCTTAGTAATGGAATATTGTCCTGGAGGAGATCTACATGACTCACGGCAACAACAACCTGGGAAGCATTTCTCAGAATATGCTGCAAGGTAGGCATTGTATCATTATATTCTGCAAGTACAGTGTGTTTCTTCATTCTTAAATTTCGACCTTAGCCTAAGATGTGCAGTTTCACCCACACTTATAAAAACATCTTCTGATTCATCTAAACAAGGAGCTGCATTTTGTGTTCAGCCAGCATGCTTCCTCCCTCGGATTTTTCCTCAGAAAAGCAAAAAGAAATCCCCAAAGCCACGTGCTGAGCCTAGCCTAACATCTAGTGAGTTAGTTGCAGAGCCTACTGCAGCACGGTCCATGTCATTTAATTTGTTGGCACTCATGAATACTTGGCCCCTGAAATTATCAAGGGAGAAGGCCATGGCAGTGCAGTTGATTGGTGGACATTTGGTATCTTTCTGCACGAATTACTTTATGGTAAAACCCCATTCAAAGGCTCGGGGAATAGGCAAACTCTTTTCAATGTTGTTGGACAGGATCTCAAGTTTCCAGATTCACCTGCAACAAGTTATTTTGTACTAGTGTGCTGCCAAAGTGCATTATTTTGAGAATATAAATTTCAAAAAGATTAGTTCAACTTACCACTAAGAGCCCCCACCAGACTGCAGTCAATAACATTTGTTTAATCAATATCAAACATGAGACATGAATATTTCATATAAAATGTTAATTTATAATCATTTACCTTGACACAAAAATATGCATCCTTAATCCCAATCTAGCTGTTGATACTTACATTAAAAAAAATCTATATATCTAAAGGTCATCTAATAGCCAATGTAAAATTTCGATCACATCTCTGCAAATGGATTCACTTTATATAGTTTAAATTGAAATTCAAATCGAGGATTAAATATGTATTTCTTCCATCTTATTGGGAATATCGAGCAAACACTGCAATTCAGCTTGAAACGTATATGTTTGGATAAGGTGTAATACCAAAAACAAACAAATTATCCTTTAAACATTGCAGAAATTACACCCGTTAAAGTGGATACATATAGATTATAGAGAGAGATAGGGGCGACCTTTAAAGGATTCCAGCTCGAGAGAAGAAAGTTGAACACGGTTGGCAGATTGATACTGGTGAATAGAGAAGTTGAGCTGCTGCGACGCAGTTGGTCCCCGAACGACGCCGTTCCCATAGTTGTTTTCGCCATTTTCGCTTTTGCCTTTGCTGGCCTTGGTCTTCTCGGCTGTGCTGTTGTTATATTACAGGAAATGTTAAACTATTATGAATGTACTGAGAATATTAAATTCTTGTATTTTGTTTAAAATTTAGGTATATTTTATGTAATATAAATATGTTTGGTTAAAGTGTTATTTTCATATGATATGATTATTTTTACTGAACACTGTTACTTAGTTTTATGTAATTTAATAAATTTAAAATTAAAATAAATAAATAAGACAATGATAAAATATAGAAATAAATAATTTAAAATTAATTAATTAAAAGAAAGTATGTTTGAACAGATATTACAATGTAATAGAGTCAGTAGTATTAAAAAAATTTATGTAATATAAACTTGTTTGGTTTAGGGATTATTTTTTATCATATATATATATATATTTTTTACTTCAATACCCTTAACACATTTTAATAAAATTAAAAATTAAAAATAAATAAACACAATAATGATATCATATACATACTAAATATTTACAATTTACATACTCAAAGTTCACAATTTACATATTAAATATTCACAATTTTATGTATTAAATGTTCACAATTTACATACTGAATGTTCACAATTTAAATTGTGAACATTCAATATGTAAATTGTAAATATTCAATTTATAAATTGTGTATTTTGATTCGAATTTACATTACAAGATGAACCCAGATCCATAACATAACTATTAACACAAAAATCATAAAACAAAATACATACATATGAAGCAGGGTCCACCTATCTGAACCTTGATCCATAGTATAAGGATTGAACAAGTTAGAAGTAGGGATGGCAATTGAACCCGCCCCCAATGGGGAAAACCGTTCCCCGCCCCGACGGGGATGGGTTCGGGGATTTATTTCGGGGAACGGGGGCAGGGATGGGGGGAATTTTTCAATCCCCGTCGGGGACGGGGACGGGGACGGGGAGGGCATTCCCCGCCCCGGCCCCGACCCCGATCCCCGCCCCGTCGCCGAATCCCTGACTAATAATATTAATATTATATATAAATTAATATCTCTCTTGTATATATTTAATCATATTCTTGAATTTCCATGTAATTAGTATTCTAGTTTAGGTACATACATTTTATGTTCATTGTTACCGTAATACCGTACATATATCTTGTATAAATAGGCTATGTTTATTTGTTTAAATTATTATTGAACATCAATGTATTATATTCTTCATTCTCTATCTCTGCATATTCTCATGGTATTAGTAGATGATTTTTTTTTTCATCTTTGCGATTTAAGATTTTTCCTTAACAAAACTGTGTTTCTCTAGTTTTGTTAAGAATGCATATTATATTATGTGTGTTTTTTAAAATAAAAAAAAAAAAAAAGTAAGCATGAATCAAAACGGGGCGGGGATTCCCCGTCCCCGAAAAATCCCCGCGGGGACGGGGATGGGGAATAATTCCCCATCCCCGCCGGAGAACGGGGCGGGGACGGGAAATGGGGGGACATTTCAGGGACGGGGACGGGGACCCCATTCCCCGCCCCCGCCCCGCCCCGTTGCCATCCCTAGTTAGAAGTGGATGGAGTCATTAGAACTGAAATCCAACCCAATTAAAGCTCATACATCACTTGGGCTTCAGAACTCAGAAGCAAAGCCCATCTTCAGATAGCTTTAAATCACACAACATTATTCCACCATTGTTTTTCTTCTTTCTCTTTCTTCAGTCTCCTAGTCAGTAGTCACCCACAGCTGAGAGAAACCGTATTCTCCGATCAACCAATCCGCCTGCCAATGCAGTATCTCTTTCGCCACATTACAGGTAATTCTCTAAATCTCTGTTCTTTACAATCGATTTCCCTCTCTCTATTAAACTTGACAGTAATTTGTTTCTGTTTCGTGTTCTAGCACTCCATTATCTTTGAGATTTTATGTTAATCCATGGAGATAACTGTAATCTCTTCCATTTATACCCCTTTTAAACGACTATATTCGACTGAAATGGCTATAGCAGCACTCTTTGTGCCTATTGATTGATGGAAGGATTGCAGAATGCATGTTTCGTTTAGATATATTTCTTATATATATACGTATGTGTGTATGTTTATATGGGCGATGCAGTTACGAAATGTTCATTGTACTAATCCCTAATCGAAATGTTCATTGTACTAATCCCTAATCGAATTGGAGTGCATATATATATCTTTTGGGTATCTTACTATTACTATTTTTAGCGAAACATTGTACCTTAAATATCCGTGTAAGAAGCAATTTTTTTTAATGGTTATCTTATAGAAAACCAGTTCTCATGGTTTGTCTTGTATGTTGCTGTTCTAGGTGGGATTGAGTTTGTGCAACGAAGGGTAAATTGTACATTGGCTTGATTTTCTTTGGGAGTGATATAGACGAAGGTGCTTCTTTGAAATTTGATCATGATAGACATGACATGGC